TACAGATACATAGATAGATAGAGATAGATAGGTAGATGGATGGATCTATAAATCTAAATTTTAAACACTATCTAAATTTTAAACAAACCAAGTAGAATAGGACAGAGCCTACCAATTCAGAATCTGAGGGGGCAAAAGCATCCTCAGGACCATTCTGATAATGCTGAATCACAATGAAACTATATCCCTATCAGTTTAAACTAAAAGGAGCAAGTATGACTCTAAGGAAGAGAGAACCCCTCAGTTCTATCATTCAGGTTTCAGAAATCACTGTATTTTTTACCTTGAGATAATAAAACTATATGCGATCCCTGTCCCAGAAATTCTAAAAGGAAGTGACAAGAACCTAGGATTCTTATCATGGAAATTTATTATAGTTAAACTAATTATATTGCTGTACCACATAAATAGCTTACTAGTTTCTGGCTTTGATTCTTTTTTTCTCCTTGTTATACTCCTCTCCTCTCTCAATCAATCCATGTCCATTCACACTAAAGAAGGGTAGAAAGAATGCCTTGAGATTCAGCTTGTAGGTTTCCTCTGATCAATCAGCCTTGCTCTGTTTCCTCATTTTTTTTTTTTTTTTTTCTTTTTTTGAGACGGAGTCTCACTCTGTCACCCAGGCTGAAGTGCAGTGGTGCAAACTTGGTTCACTGAAACCTCAGCCTCCCACGTTCAAGTGATTCTCCCACCTCAGCCTCCTGAGTAGCTGGGATTACCGGCACACACCACTACTCCTGGTTAATTTTTTATATTTTTAGTAGAGACGGGGTTTTGCCATGTTGACCAGGCTGGTCTTAAACTCCTGGCCTCAAGCGATCCACCTGCCTCGGCTTCCCAAAGTGCTGGGATTACAGGCATAAGCCACTGCACTTGGCTCTGTTCCCTCCTTTAACTTGGCATTCCTTTCACTCTTTTGCTCTAAATTGCTATGGTACAATTTATAACACTCACCGATATTTTCCTATTTCCCCATATAAGGTACTTTATTTCCCCTAACTATACTGATAGTTTGAGGCCTGAATCTTACTCTTCTTTTCCTTCTTATCCTTTTACCAGCCCAATATTCAAGAATAGTAGGTGCTTGCTAAAAACTAATTTAAATGAAAGACTGAGTCTGAGTCAAACAAAATACATTACACTGGATAGGCCAGGCATGATGGCTCATGCCTATAATCCCAGCACTTTGGGAGACCGAGATGGGTGGATCGCCTGAGGTCAGGAGTTCGAGACCAGCCTGGCCAACATAGTGAAATCCTGTCTCTACTAAAAATACAAAAATTAGCCAGGCATGGTGGCAGGCGCCTGTGATCCCAGCTACTGAGAGGCTGAGGCAGGAGAATGGATTGAACCCAGGAGGCGAAGGTTGCAGTGAGCCGAGATCATGCCATTGCACTCCAGCCTGGGTAACAAGAGGGAAACTCCATCTCAAAAAAAACAGGCTGGGTGCGGTGGCTCACACCTGTAATCCCAGCACTTTGGGAGGCCAAGGCGGGCAGATCACAAGGTCAGGAGATCGAGACCATCCTAGCTAACACGGTGAAACCTCGTCTCTACTAAAAATATAAAAAATCAGCCGGGTGTGATAGTGGGCACCTGTAGTCCCAGCTACTCAGGAGGCTGAGGCTGGAGAACAGCACGAACCTGGGAGGTGGAGCTTGCAGTGAGCAGAGATCTCACCACTGCACTCCAGCCTAGGCAATAGAGTGCGACTCCGTCTCAAAAAAGAAAAAAAAACATTACACTGGATAAATAAACCTCCCCAAAAGACAACTAATTCCTTCAAGTTCACTCATGACACATTTTTCCATAGCTTTTTGTTTTGTTTTTTTGCAACGGAGTCTCACTCTGTCCCCTAGGCTGGAGAGTGGTGGCACTATCTTGGCTCACTGTAACCTCCTCCTCCCAGGTTCAAGCAATTCTCCTGCCTCAGTCTCCTGAGTAGCTGCGCACCACCATGCCCGGCTAATTTTTTTTTTTTTTTTTTTTTTGTATTTTTAGTGGAGACAATTTCACCATGTTGCCCAGGCTAGTCTCGAACTCCTGGCCTCAGGTGATTTGCCTGCCTCAAACTCCCAAAGCACTGGGATTACAGGCATGAGCCACCATGCCTGGCCTCATAAGTTCATTATTATACATGATGGTTCAACTCCCAAACCAGTCCATATAGCCTTTTAAATCTATAAAGTACCTCAGAACTGTAGAAGTCATGTTTTTGAGCTAAAGAATCATATACAGCTCTACTGGGGAAACAAGGGGAGCCGAGACCAAGGCTTAGGATGAGTTGGAGAGAAAATACAAAAAAAGTTTCCCTGCCTCTTTTCACCTATTTATCTACTTCCTTTCACATCAGGGTGAGTTGAGCTGTGTACCCAGGTTGCTGGTAGAATCTGAGGGAGAGGAAGGGGGTTTCTACAACTCCCCCACTGGGAAGCTTCCCTGGGTAGTGGGGAATTCATATAGAAATTCATATGCAGATTGGGTGATGCCTATAATACTGCACACTAGAGTTTGAGGTGCTACTTTTAGCCTCTTTTTAATTCCACAGTACCTACACATATGAGAAAAGCTTTGCTGCCTCCAAAGACCCACACTTTGCATCATGATCCCTGGCCATTCTGCCCACAATAGCACTTGTTCTTTAGAGTAAATGGAACCCTAAAACAACTCATCTTAACCGCTCAACACTGAATATGATGCTATATCATATCCTGCTGCAGTTGATAGGGACATGTCTTAGGTGCTATGTTTTAAAGTGATAGTAAGATATATATTCCTTGCTATACCCAACGCAAGTGTGCCTCGAAAATACTGCATGTAAGCCTGAATTTATTTACCTTGAAAATACGTCCTTGGCCAGGTGTGGTGGCTCACACCTGTAATCCCAAATCTTTGGGAGGCCGAGGTGAGTGGATTATTTGAGGCCAGGAGTTCGAGACCAGCCTGGCCAACATGGTGAAACCTGTCTCAACTAAAAATAAAAAAATTAGCCAGGTGTGGTGGTGCACACCTGTAGTTCCAGCTACTCAGGAAGCTGAGGCAGGAGAATCACTTGAACCCAGAAGGCAGAGACTGCAGTGAGCCGAGATGACACCACTGCACTCTAGCCTGGGCAACAGAGCGAGAACTTGTCTCAAAAAAAAAAAAAAGAAAAAACAAACAAAAACACATGCTCTTTACAAAAGGGTTGACTACAGAATTTATTTAACGCAATAAATTCCCCATTTATGTAAAATGACAGATTTTTATTTTTACGTATTTATTTATTTATTTTGAGATGGAGTCTCACTCTGTTGCCCAGGCTAGAGTGCAGAGGCGCAATCTCGGCCCACTGCAACCTTGGCCTCCCAGGCTCAAGTGATCTTTCTACCTCAGCTTCCAGAGCAGCTGGGACTACAGGCACATGCCACCACACCCGGATAATTTTTGTATTTTTAGTAGAGACAGGGGTTTCACCATGTTGGTCAGGTTAGTCTCGAACTCCTGACCTCAGGCGATGCCCCTCCTCAGCCTCCCAAAGTGCTGGGATTACAGGCATAAGCCACCACACACAGCCATGACAGATTTATTTTAAATAATAACAGGCTGACTTAAAGCAGGATACAACTAGATACAAATTTATATTTAGTGCAACTATAAACAAGTTTAGACAAGTTTAAATTTATGAAATAATTCCAACCACATTTTCATGAGACTACTTGCTGTCCCCTTAATACAAGAGGAACTTTCTCATTCTCCAATCCCAGTGTTATTCCTCATGTTTTTCCTTTACCAAACATATCCGGCCCACACCTCGTGACTCCCAACAACCCTGACACTCTAATATTTTCCTAGTCTAAACTTTATAAAGTACTTAAGAGCAGGAATTGTGTCTGTTTTTCTTTTTTAAATTAAGGCCCTCACAGCAGGTACCACACAACTAGAAACACCCTCAAGGTACCAAGAATGAAGTGCAGTCTTACAATTTCTTAAAATTTTACCTCCCATTTACTTAGAGGTATTACTATGTGCCAGTTTTCTAATTTGTTGTTGTTGTTGTTTATGTTGTTTGAGACGGAGTCTCGCACTGTCGCCCAGGCTGGAGTGCAGTGGCGCGACCTCGGCTCACTGCAAGCTTCGCCTTCTGGGTTCACGCCATTCTCCTGCCTCAGCCTCCCGAGTAGCTGGGACTACAGGCGCCCGTCACTACGCTCGGCTGATTTTTTGTATTTTTTAGTAGAGACGGGGTTTCACTCTGTTAGCCAGGATGGTCTCGATCTCCTGACCTCGTGATCCACCCGCCTCGGCCTCCCAAAGTGCTGGGATTACAGGCGTGCGCCACCGCGCCCGGCCTATCCCCATTTTACAGATTAGTAAACAAGGACAGAGAATGTAAGTAACTTGCCCAGAGTATACCGCTAATAAGCAGAATGGAACTGGACTCCTGGCCGCTAGCTCTAGACTGTCTATATCACAAAGATGAAGTCACAGGCAACATCTCTTTTAATTCTTCCAACAGCCGCATTAGGCAGCTGTTCTTTCCACTTTATAGAGGAGGAAACTAAGGTTCTGAGAAGACAATTACTCCAAAGTTACATAGTTAGAAGGTGGTGGACATGGAACATTTCCGGCTACAAAGCTCAAATTCCCAGCCACTACCAGTGTCTCCATCCCACCTGTTTCAGAAAAGGATCCTTCCCGGGAACTCCAGGAGAAGATGACGAGAAGCTATGGTGGAGTGGGCGGAGGAAGAGGAAGAGGGTTGAGGAATCAGGACCCCCAAGAAAACCAATCACACCTATATGAACCAAAACTGTCCAACAGCATTCATGGAAGCAAAAACCCAAACCCCAAGCCCCATAATGCCACCCCCTTTTTCTGATGTCCCAACTCCACAGACCCAGTCCAACCCCTTTTTCTTACTGTTGGGGAAACTGAGGCCCCCAGCGTTGACCATCATTACATCCTCCTCCTGTCCCAATTCTCCCGCGCCACAGTCCCGGACGTGGTCCTGTACCCACCCCCACGGCTCGGCTGATGTTGTCCATCTTGTTGACGACCAGTTGGAAGAGGGGGTAGCAGGTCTGACAGAGGCGCACGGGCCGGGCGCTGCGCACCAGACACCCTGTCAGCTCTGCGCTGCTGTTGGCAAAGTCCAGCAGGAGCTCCCGGCACTCGGGATCCAGATCCGGCAGGTCCGGGGGCAGCGACAGAGGCCCCAGCCTTCCACCCTGCAGCAGGGACAGGGACAAGTCCTCCACCTCCAACAACTGCTGCTCCGACAGGAGGTCGTGGAAGACCCGGTGCGGACTGCTGCCGAAGGGGAGCGCGCCCAGGGCCAGCCCCGACCACAGCAGCAGCCCCAGCGGCAGCCACGGCGGCAACGAACACCTCCGCCGCGCGGCTGTCGGGCCCGGCTCCATCACGGGGCTCACACACCCCAGGGCGCCCACCACCACCTCTCCGCCCCCAACCGGCACCGCTGACAGCCGCCGCTTCCGGTTTCCGCGAGCGCAGGCCGAGAGCCGGGTCACGAGGAGGGCGCGTCACGGCCCCGCCCCCTGCGCGCGACGCCCCGCCCCATTGGCTGCCGGCTGTCTCCGGGACGCGGGCCTGCGCGCGTGCGGGACGCGCCCACCCTGCGGCCGCGCGCTGCCCGGCCGGCGTCAGATGCGGTGCGCGCGGGAGTGGTGCGCTGGAGGCTCCCGAGCCCGGGCTCGCCAGCGGGTGACTACGAGCGCCCACCGCTTTGGACAGTCGCATCTCAGGAGTCCTGACCCTTGAACGCCCACCCCTCTGGGAGTTCCGGGCGTCCTACAAGTTTCTTACTTCGCTGGACGGACGACGGCCTCCGCTGTGGAAATGACCGTCGGCTGCGTTCACAGAGAAAGCCCGCTGGCCGGTGCCTCGGCAGATTTTCTGCGTGGTGTTCCTTAGCGTAGTGTTTTCCTCATCCCATTTGGAGAGAGTAATAATGCCCGTTGGTTATTATAGGTGGTGGAGCCTAGCGGTTTCCGAGCTTTTTGTTTTTGTTTTTTAAAAAACTCTCAACTGTCTGCCTCAGCGTTGTCAGATCGAACTCTCTGGGATGAGGGAAATATTCTACATCTGCGTTATTAAGGCAGCCACTGGACACATTTATGATGTTGAGCCGGCTGAGGAACTGAATTTTAAATTTTATTTAATTTAGGGCTGGGCGGGGTGGCTCACGCCTGTAATCCCAGCACTTTGGGAGGCCGAGGCAGGAGAGCGCTTGAAGCCAGGAGTTGGAGGCGAAACCCCGTCTCTACTAAAAATACAAAAATCAGCCGTTGGGCGTGGTGGCGCAAGCCTGTAGTCCTAGGTTGAGCGGGGAGGATGGCTTGAGCCAGGAGGTCGAGGCTGCAGTGAGCCGAGATCGCACCACTGTACTCCAGCCTTCGCGACAGAGTGAGACCCCCATCTCAAAAATAAATAAGTGTTTGACTTAAATGTAAGTAGCCACATCTGTGTAGTGGCGACTGTACTTGACGCAAGTCTGGTCCGACAGTGGCCAAGAAGCAGGTTTGCTTGGAACTGAAGGAGTGCTAGGGACGCAGCGCGTTCAGTGCTAAAACCCAGGAAATCCTGGACAAACTGCTCAACTTCAAACTCCTATCCAGTTTCTGACATGCCCGAGGCAAAAGCAGGGAACACTCGAAAAAGCGTCCTGATACAAGCGTCCTGATACCGTTGCCAGTCTGTAAAAAGAATTTAAGCTCATAATCTGGAAAACAGTTTTCTGACAAGTATCTGACCAACCAGGTTGGTAGAAAATTACTTTCGGGCTTTGTGTCATCCTGCTTTTTAGGGTTGTAATTTTTGCCTTGTAAATTGCAGAGCTGCTGCACTAAATTCTACTTATCTTAGGGTCCTAATTTATGTTTCTGACAGTTCTTCCAAAACTTTGTTGTTTTCATTGTTGTGTATTTGGTTTGGTTTAGAGGTTTAGAGACATAGTCTCGCTAGACTGCCCAGGAAGGACTCGAACTCCTAGGCTCAAGGGATCGTCAGGAGGCTGCCTCGGCCTGCCAGACAACTGGACTACAGGCACAGGCTGCTGTGCCCAGCCTGGGGGTTCTTATAGTTATTTTTTACCCCGCCTGTTTGATGGTTGTTTTATGTTCCTAAATTTGCTTTGGATAGGTAAATTTTGTTTCATTTTTGTTTATAAGAAACTGAATAGTAGGAAATTTGATTTGTGTACCAATAAATGTATTTCCAAAAGAGAAAATAAGTTGTCTTAAGTTTTGCAAAAATCATCACGTAACTCTTAGGTCTTTCTATGGGTTAGAATTATCTTTCTTTTAAATGATTTCAAGCACCATTCTGTGTTGTAAGTGGATGTGTAAATTGTTAACTTCTATGGAAGTCAATGTGAAGAATCAACAACACGTGCTCTTTGATGCACGTGCTCTTTGATGCAGCAAGTTCACAACCTTGTCGTAGACACTTATTCATTGCAATATTGTTTGTAATGGTAAAAAGGATGGCTTCAAAAAGCATGTTAAGGGGCTGGGCACGGTAACTCATGCCTGTAATCCCCGCACTTTGGGAGACCAAGGCAGGCAGATCACCTGAGGTCAGGAGTTCGAGACCAGCCTGGCCAACATGGTGAAACCCCATCTCTACTGAAAATACAAAAATTAGCCGGATGTGGTGGCGGGTGCCCATAATCCCAGCTGCTCAGGAGGCTGAGGCAGGAGAATCTCTTGAACCTGGGAGGCGGAGGTTGCAGTGAGCCAAGATCATACTACTGTGCTCCAGACTGGGTGACAGAGTGAGACTCCATCTCAAAAAAAATAAAATAAAATAAAAATGTTAAGGAAATTACACTTTCCCTCTTCCTTTGCTTTCCATTCCTGGAACAATTCAATCTTAAAGGTCAAGTAGAGCAAGAAGGCATCTGTGCTTGGTAGGGATGGGGTGTCAGAGACCCAGAGAGAGGTGTCAGACCACAGGTAAGATGAAGAGGACAGTGGTGTGAGGGAGGGTGGCAGCATCAGCCTGATGCAGAGTATTGGGTTCTGCAGAGGACTGGCAGCGGTGACTGGAAGGTTGCTTACATTCAGAAGGATTGATGGAATCAGTAAATATATTAAGAATAATTGGGCCGGGCGCGGTGGCTCACGCCTGTAATCCCAGCACTTTGGGAGGCCGAGGCGGGCAGATCACGAGGTCAGGAGATCGAGACCATCCTGGCTAACACGGTGAAACCCCGTCTCTACTAAAAATGCAAAAAATTAGCCGGGCGAGGCGGCGGGCGCCTGTAGTCCCAGCTACTCGGGAGGCTGAGGCAGGAGAATGGCGTGAACCCGGGAGGCGGAGCTTGCAGTGAGCCGAGATCGCGCCACTGCACTCCAGCCTGGGCAACTAAGCGAGACTCTGTCTCAAAAAAAACAAAAAAAAACAAAGAATAATTGGAGTCCAGTTTCAGACTGTCAGAGAAGAAAGTTACAAATATGAAAAGAGAGAAATGAACTCTAATGTAGGATTAAAATTAGAAATATCGGTGCAAATTCATAGCTTAAAATATATAGTCATCTACTGATACCAGCTGGGGAATGTTTCAAGGCCCCCCACAGATGCCAAAATCTTCAGATCCTCAAGTCCCTTACATAAAACGCCATAGTATTTGCATATAACCTACACATTTCCTTCTGTATACTCTTTTTCTTTTTCTTACATTCTGTTAAAGCATCTTCTTTATACTTTTAAATCATATCTAGATTACTTATAGTACCTAATACCATATACATGGTATGTAAATAGTGGTTATACTATGTTTGGTTTTTAATTTATGTTATTTTTTATTGTTACTTTTTTTCTACTAGGTGATATTAGTTTTTAAAAATTATGGTAAAATATACGTAACATAAATGTTACCATTTTTAATGTACTTTCAGTGGCATGTTACTTTTTATTGTGGTTTTATTTTTGAATTGTTTTTCTCTTGTTTTGTAGAGATGGGATCTTCCTGTGTTGTCCAGACTAGTCTCAGACTCCTGGGCTCAAGTGATCCTCCCACTTCAGCCTCCCAAAGTCCAGGAATTAGCAGTATGAGCCCCTGTACCCAGCCCTCAAGTATTTTAGACCTGCAGTTGGTCAAATCCAAGGATGCAGAACCCATGGATACAGAGGGCCAACTATATATAGTATAGAAATAAATATAGATGTAAATATATATGTATATATATTTTTATGTGTATGTACATATATGAATATATGCTATATGTATACATATATGTGTATTTGTGTGTGTGTATTTCCTCTGGCTTTGTCCACTTAGAACACTTAGTAGCAAAGGTACCCTAGTGATAATAAGCATGCATAATGCCCAGATCTTGGATTCTAAGTATCATTCTCCACTAAAAGGAACCAAGGATCCTTGGAGAAATGGCTGATTCAGAAAAAAACACAAATTGAGACTGGATCATCTTGTGCCACAAAGTAAGGAAGTGCTCAAAGAATAATGTTGGAAACATGTCAAGGGCATACTGAAACCATCTTAAATAGACTCCCACTGGTCAAATCTGAGTCAATCTCAGCATCAAAATGGTTGACATATATGGTTAACAAATTATAACCCATTACATAAAACGAAACCACAAGCTCACAGGGATCAATTTAAGTAATAGATTGATAAGTACATTTATATATTTTCATAGATTCTCCCCACCAGATACTTATTAATTACAAATGGGGAAAAAGGAGTAAATTTACAGTGGAAAAGCTTGTCCAGTCCTATGTTAATCAAACGATCAACATGAACATCATCATAATGGAACATACAGAAATTGTGTGCACCTGATAGGCTGCAATTAGGAGAATATAGTGTCAGTTCTGTTATATTCCTGCCAAAGATGCATAATCTGATTCCAATCGTGAGGGAGGTGTCAGACAAACCAAATTAAAGTTCATTACATAAAATACCTCGACTGTAATCTTCAAAAGTGTTACAGCTACAAAAGTCAAGGAAAGCTTAAGGAACTGCACCTGACAGGACATTACTGGGACAACTAGCAAAATTCAAATAGGGTCTGAGAATTAGATGGTAGTTACGTATATTGCTGAAGAGATTAACTAATGATTATGAGAGAAGATTATATTTATCATGATACAATAGCCCTGTAGTGTAAGAATAAGAAGAATAAGAATAAGGAAAGGTCTTGTCTTAAATGTAAACCTAATAAAAAAAAAAAAAAAGTAATGCTATTGCCTAAATTCAGGTCCTTTGCATCTCTTGCCTGCAATATTGTAACAGCAAAAACTAGCAATCAAAGGGAAACATCTGGAAACCAGAAAAGAGAAAGAGAAATTGACCTACGATGCCACCTCACATTCCTCTTGTAAATTCAAAATGTTAATCAAGACTCTGTGAGACTTTCAAAAAATTTGTTTTCATGGGAAATTGTTATGAAAAATTACCTCAAATTTGGAAATAAAGTAAAAAACAATCAGCATACTGGGGCATATTTTCTTATTTTTTCTTTTTCAGATTAGATTAATTTAAAAACCTTGTCTTTAAGCTCTGAAGTTCTTTCTTCTGCTTGTTTGATTCCATTGCTGAGACTTTGCAGAGCATTTTGCATTTCTGTAAGTGCATCCATTGTTTCCTGAAGTTTTGATTCAGGAATTTGATTGTTTTTTATTTATGCTATCTATTTCACTGACGATTTCTCCCCTCGTTTCTTGTATCATTTTTTACTTCCTTAAATTGGACTTTGCTTTTCTCTGGTGCCTCCTTGATTTTAGCTTAATAACTGACCTTCTGAATTCTTTTTCAGGTAAATCAGGGATTTCTTCTTGGTTTGGATCCATTGCTGGTGAGCTAGTGTGATTTTTTTATGGATGTTGAAGAACCTTGTTTTATCATAGTACCAGAATTGTTTTTCTGGTTCCTTCTCAGTTGGGTTGTCTGTGTCAGAGGAAAGTTCTAGGGCTCAAGGCTGCTGTTCAAATTCTTTTGTCCCATGGGGTGTTCCCTTGATAAAGTACTCTTCCCCCTTTTCCTAGGGATGTGGCTTCCTGAGAGCTGAGCTGTTGTGATTGTTATCTCTTCTGGATGTAGCCACCCAGCCGGTCTACCAGGCTCTGGGCTGGTACTGGGGATTGTCTGCACTGGGTTCTGTGATGTGAACAGTCTGCAGGTGTCTCAGCTGTGGATATCAGCACCTGCTCTGGAGGAGGTGGCAGGGGGGTGAAATGAACTCTGTGAGGGTCCTTGGTTTTTGGTTGTTTAATGCACTATTTTTGTGCTGATAGGCCTCCTGCCAGGAGGCAGGTGGCACTTTGAAGAGAGCATCAGCTGTGGTAGTATAGGGAGGATCAGGTGGTGGGCAGAGCCCTAGAACTCAGAGGAGTATATGCCCTTTGTCTTCAGCTACCAGGGTGGGTAGGGAAGGAGACCATCAGGTTGGGGCAGGTTTAGGCCTGTCTGAGCTTAGACTCTCCTTGGGTGGGCCTTGCTGTGACTGCTGTGGGGAATGGGGATGTGGTTCCCAGGTCAATGGAGTTATGTTCCCAGTAGGATTATGGCTGCCTCTGCTGTGTCATGCAGTTAGTCAAGGAAGTGGGAGAGAGCTGGCAGTCACAGGCCTTACCCAGCTCCCAGGCAACCCAAAATGCTTTTCTCACTCCCATTGTGTACCCCCCAACAGCACCAAGTCAATTTCCAGTCAGTGGGAGAGCAGGGCTGAGAGCTTGCCCCAGGCTACCAGCCTCCCACTGTGAAAGCCAGCTGGGTTTTTGTTCCTCCCAGTCTG